TTCATCATCCATTGGCCTTTTTATGAAAATGAAGAAGAGAAAAGCTCTAATTGTTAATAATTTTATTTCTATAAATTATTAACATTCAAAGATGACTAACGTTCAAAAAAAAAATTTACATCATTGTTAATGTTATATTTATCATGCATACCTCAAGAATATTAGCCTTTAATTGAAACAAATCTTTTGAAATGATGGCAACGAATCATCCTCATATTCATTATTGATATCATTGTTGTTAGGGAGTGCCCGAAATAACCTCATTTGTCCTGTTCGGTAGTGAAGTTACACATATGACCGGAAAAACTCTATTGAATGTGACCATCAACACTATGATTCGAAAGTACTTTAAAAAGAGTGATGATGGCCGCAACACTATAATAGTGAATTAAATTTAAATCCGAAAAAAGGAAACATACAGTATTAATATACTCGCTAACATTTTTTACCTAAACAGAAAAAAATACCAGTCAGTACGCACACCCTCGGCTGTAGAAGTCACCCTATAATAAACACACCCTCCACATGGATCTTGAATTGCTAAAATCAGGTGATGCTATAATTCTTCCAAATAAATACCTAAAAATTTCAATATAGAATAGTCATAGTAGAAATAAAGAATTCATGAATTCATTATTGGGAATTATTAATATTAAAATCATCAGAAAGACTGTCAAAATCACAAATTTGATACGTGAATGAATTTGTTCAAATTAAGAAAACCAATATCTTTTTTTTATTTTTTTACTATATAATTCCTTAAAACTGTAATTTTCATTGTATATATAACATATCAAAATTAAAAATTAATTGTAATCGAGCGGGCTTTCCGGTATGTTTGGAACTGGCTAAAATTATTATTTATAGAAACCGGGATTCAAACCGGATTTTAGAAGGTATATAATAATAATAATATTATTATTATTACTATATTTAGTATAGCTTGGTTTGTTTATATATTAATTAATTACTATGAAACTCGTAACAATTTGCCCAATTGAATTGTTTCAAAATTATATATAGCTTGCATTGAAGAATCCTCTTCACATGGTTTGACAAATTATTGTAATTTTTTTTATGTATTTATTTATGTCACTATTTACCTTATTTGTTGAAAAACAAACAAACGCATATAAACCCGGTTGAAAATTGTTGAACCGGAAAAAATCTGGTTGAAAAGTTAAAATCTAATTAGTTCATGTAGCCGGAAAGATTTTAAAATTCATCCAATATTATTAAACATTGATTTAAAAGAGCTCTTTTTAAATCATATTTTTATTCCACCAACAAAATCATTAATCGTGTTATATGAAGCAAACACTTTAAATATTCGTTGTAATGTTGAAACAAGATTCGTTGAAACGAGGTTCGACTGATATTGCTTTTTAAACCATTGATCACATTTTCTTTGCCTGCTAATTACTTACTTGATTTGCTTACTATCTCACTACTATTAGGGTGGGAGCCTTAACAAATAATTTATTTATTCTGTTTAATACTTGCTCTTTGATAATAATTCCTAAATCAAGTTGACATTTTCCCACACTTTGTTCAATAACACACCTTCTCATTGGTCTGAATGGTCTGCTTTTCGGTGGCACAAGTCTCTTTTTGCTAGTTAATTAATTGGTAATTATAGTATTTGTGGTATTTGGCTTCTTGCTCTACTTGATTTGATTTAGTAAACTGGAGCATTATTCACTGCATCCAAGTCACTATTTATTAGGTCCATGACTTGACTTATTCAGTGTAATTGGTTTATTTTAGCTAAGTAAATTAGTCAGTAGTGTTTATAGACTTACTAAACAAGATTTTAAAGGTACAAGAGGATCTTATTTAATTCATATTTATTTGACTTATTAAATTGTTCTTTTGCTGTATCTCATTGTTTTATTATCTATGTCTAGTTGTGCTTTTTTCTTTTCATCATCTTTCTATTATTAATTCAAAAGTGACTTCATTCATTTATCCACTTGTTTCAATTTCAGCTCTCAACATACTTTTTTTTTAGCACCTTCTCTATAAATGTAAATATTAGAGACAATGCTATAATTTTACTTTTCATGTCCAGATCTTTTGATAAACAAA